GAGCAAAGGAGAGGATTGAACCAAATTTTGCCGACGAGTTGTTCTCGGAACTTCTTCCAAAATCTTATGTGTATCATTCTTTTGTCTTATTTTTATCATATTAGTGTGATCACAGTGCTTGTCAACGTGCTGGGGGTTTGGAGTTGATGTTAAAGTTAGAATATTGGAATCACACCAAAGGAACGACAAAGACCAACACAAAGCATCCAAGTGTGTTATGTATGACCATCCGGATCCTTATTCATTTGTTAGATCAGATACTGTACCTGCCCGCTTGCTTGTGATTCGATAGATGCTTGTTGTTGCTAGCAATCCATTTCCGGTTACATGATGGCAACAAACGGGTTGTCACATAGCATATTTGATACCGCCAGCATGGATGCCGGTTGATAAGTCAGTCTCCCGAAACGTAAAGAAATTCAATATTAAACGATATGTCACGGCATGTCTCAAACTTTTTGGGATTAAGCTTTAGGTTTCTGAAAATTTGGTGCTATCAAACCGCCTTACTTCATGCAGTGATGAGAAACAAGCGGTTCGATAGCACCAAATTTTCGGAAAGAACGACTCTTTGTGTTGTATGTTGTGACATGAGCGGTTTAAAGTGTACGACAATATCATACTCGAAACCGTAAACAATGTAATATAGGAATATAGTCATAGATATCGTTTGTGTGGCGTTCCCACCAAGTATTTAGTGTTGTATTTGTAGGGCTATCCGTTCAAATGTTGTATACTGTAATTTACATGCTATAAAACATGCGCAATATCATACTCCACGAAATACACAATAAATTATGCAAAAGATAGTCATAGATGCCGTGTCGTGTTGCTTTCATCAAGCGTTGAGTGTTATATCTGTTGGTTTATAGGCTTACATGTTGTATTTCACAATGTTGATGATTCTCCATGATACTTCGGAAATCGCGTCACTCATGCGAGCGGTCACTAAGAACATCGCAAATCGATTTATGTTTCTACAGGACGTAGCAGCGAGATACCGTTGATGTCTCAGGCAGACCATGACTATGCAAGGAGTCAACAAGAACATCGCGAATCGACTTATGTGTCTGAATAACAGGAAGTGGCAGCGAGTAATCATGGATGTCCAGGTCTGTCATGACGTCATGCAAGCGGTCAATAAGAACATCGCAGATCGATATACGTTTCTATAGGAAATGACATCAAAATATCATTCATGTCTCAGCTGTACCATACATCATGACCGGCGACCGATGAAGTTGCTTGCAGACATGACGGGGTTCTCGATGCTCGATTGCATTAATAAGTTCTAATGCTTCACCTAACGTAGAAGAATACTGACATAGTAAAATAACATTAGAATATAAGTTATGAGTGATTCAATAAATAAGCCTGTATTGAATACAGTATTTGTATCACCTGTTCTCTATAGAAATGTGTCTGCTGAGCCAAATGAACCTAAAGGACGCAGCCTCATATTTATTATATACATATATATATATATATATTCTGTGTATATATATTTCTGCGCATGTGTGGGTATGCATGTATGTATGCATGCATGTATGTATGTATGTATGTATGTATGTAAGTAAGTAAGTATGTACGTATGTATGTAAGTATGTATGTATGTATGTATGTATGTATGTATGCATGTATGTGTGTATGTATGTGTATATACATATATACATATTATATATATATATATATATATATATATATATATGCGTGTGTGCTTGTATACACAAGCCTCTCTGTCTGTGTGTGTGTGTGTGTTTGTGTATGTGTATATAATATATATATATACATGTACATTATGATGCTGGCAGTGCTGGTGGTCTTCTTGTCATGCTCCACCTGGCCTTTGTTGAAGCTGGGGTCCTTCTTTGTATGGTGAGCCTGGCTTGTCTTTATGCCACGCTAATATCGCTTGTTTTTTATGCTGGGTCCTTTCTCTGTCGTTCCTCTCTCGCCCCCCCTCCCCTCCCTCCCTCACTCCCTCCCCATTCCTCCCCTCCCTCCCTCCCTCCCTCCCTCCACCCCGTCCCTCCTTCCATCTCCTTTCTTCACCACATACCGAAGAAAACAACAAGCACTCGATCTTCTTCGCCTGTAGTGCGCCAGTGACAAGTCGATGTCTGATTCCTGCACACATTAGAGAAAGCTTCACGAGAAGGCTCCGGATACTGACTCCGTCCTGCGCGACCAGCTGCCAAGTGTCTACTGAGTCTCTCCTTCAGCGCAAGTTTCTGCAATGGAGATGGAGCGGTTCAAGAGCAGAGAAGTCATGGGCCGCTTTGCCCAGTGGCTCTGCGAGGTCAGCGGGCTGCGCGCCCTCGGCCTCGGCCTTCTGGAAATCCTCGGCAGCGAGGTGCAGCCCCTCAGCCCTGAGCCCTGAGCCTGCAAGCGTCCGGGGAGTCCGGCTTCGTCGGCCACAGCAGCGCTGCTGTGCAAACGAAAGCCCCAACCTGGCCAAAACAGCAGCGGGCTGCCTCTTGCCATCACCGAAGGAGAAAGCGAGCCGGCGCTGGCCATAGTAGGCGAAATCACCGAGCCGCAGCTCCTGGCAACGCTGTGTTCGAACATCAGTAGCTCGTCGTAGGCGGCGGCATCTCGTGGAGAGCTTCGGAACCCCTCGTGTCCGAGAAGGCATTACCCTGCTCGGCAGAGAGCTCGTAGTGGCGCTGGGCAAAGAAGCGGCCCCAGCGCCGATCCTCCAAGCGAAGTTCTGTCGGCTGGCTGCCTCTCGAGCTCACTTCTGTCCTCCGCAGGTTCTTCGACACCTTCGCCTTTGCCAGATGAGAGCCAAGCCGTGACGAGCACACTGACAGCTATGAAAGTCCCACGGACGACCAAACCCTTAGCATTCGGCTGGTATTCAGCAGGAAGGATGCCGCACCTCCAGGAGCATTGATCGCAGTCCCACTTCTTGAGCTATATACGACACAAGCTTCTATTCATGGGCACCTGAGTCAAAGAGGTGAGCTGCATTCATCTGCGCCACCTCGGCTGGAGAAACCCCATTCCGCAGGAAGACGCTGTCCAAGTGCAATCACGCACCTCGTGGCCAGCCTCCGCGAGCTGTAAAAAGCCTAGCAACAGCAGTCCAAGGTGACAAGCTGTGCAGCGTGTACACAGCATCACCAACAGTCAATAGCCCAGCAACGCCACGCAGCTCCTTCAGAGCCTTGGATGAGGTTTTGTATTGCGGAAAGCATTAGCGCTCTTTCTCCTCAGAGGCCCGATGTTCGATGTTCGCTCGTTACGCTGAGACGCTCTGTTTCTCTTGCAGCTCGTAGGCTTCACGGAGCCTTGGCGTGGCGGCGAACGAAGACGGCGCGTACACAGCAGAGGTTCTTTGAGCTTGGGAGCTTCCCAGAGACCCAGGCACCCCGCTCACAGACCTCAGCCGATAAAGATAGAAACGCCACCGGAGTCTCAAGCTCTCCCCCTTCTTTCCTTCTTTGCAGCATGTTGCAGCCCAGCATCTCGCTTTAGCAGCTCCACGGCCATCTTGCAGTTCCGAACAGCGCCAATGCCGTTGAGGTGCATGACGGCTAACCTCGCCGCAGAGGCCCGAAAGCGAGAGCACGAGAGCACCGCACTCCGCACTTTTCGGCCAAGTGGCGTGTAGGCTGCGGGAGTGTGGCCTCGGTCAAGTGCCTGAGTATACCTCATCGTGAAGTCTAGAGTCTAGAGTCTAGGCTCTCGGCGGAAACTTCCTGCGACCGAGGTCACCAGTGCGCTGCGCGCTGGAAGGATTGGTCCGTGCCCGTGCCTGTGAGGTACAGCGAGGCCAAGTTGAACCTCGGCAACCGCATCGGGACTAGGCTGCAAACAGCGTGGACATCCCCTGAATGGGATGCAGCTTGAGGGCATGCCATCGGCGCTGCCGGCATGTGCCGAAATATTGAAGTGGCGAAAGGCCTCCAGAGGCACAGCGAAAGCCCAAGGTCTACCCCGACCCCATTTTACTTTGACAGCTTTCTTTGGGAAAGCCAGCGCGAGCACTCCAAGTCTTGCATGCTGCCTGCCTTTTTACTGTATCTCTCCACTGGGGCCCGGGCGAGGTCAAAGCTCTGCGCTCGGATTTTCGTGCCGTGGAAGTGAATGAAGCCCAAGCCGTTGTGGCCTTCCAATCGCACGGGGCGGGTTACTCTATATGGTCGTGGAGATTCAAGCTGCAGCGTTTCAGCTAAAGTTCGATGACGGTCTCTCGATCGCGGTGGCCTAAGGCATCGTCCCGTGAGGCCGCGTCGTGGAAGTATCTGTAGGCCCGATCCTTGCTCCGAGATCACTATGGCCGAGGAAATGCCAAGACCTCAATACAGAAGCCAAGTGTCTAGATCCTTGGTCACACCAAGCCCCAAACCTGAGGCATCCGGAAAAAGATCGTAAAGGAAGATAAAACAGCAAACAAGCCAGAGCACTCTGAAAGCTTGCCGATGACTCGGCGAAGCTGGGTCGGGAATGGTCAGGACCACAAAACAAGTTTTGCCATCCCCTGTTGAAAACCAAACGGCGACCTGCCAAAACGACAGCGAAGGCGCTGGCGAGGCTGCGGTAGGTTCTACCCACTTGCTCTCATGTGCGCCACGCGAAATGACACGGCCGCATCAGGGATGGCGGGAGCTTGCTGCTTGCATCAAGCTGCAGTCCGCTCCAAAAACAGAGCAGAAATCTCGGAGACTACGTTTCGTGGACGGGACATGCCAAGATCTTCTGCACAGCAGGCACATTTGGGGCAGGTAAAAATACGCCAGCGGCGCTACAGTTACACGAGACCCAAAAGTGCTACGTGGAGCACCGGGAATCAAAGTCCTCCTCGCACATGATCTCATCTGGCCAATTTTTCTTGGTCAGGAGGCCGTTGAGGACAGCTGAGGACAGCTCTGCGGTGAGCTTGCGTCGAAGACAAGTCTTGCAAGCGCAAATACACCAGCGCAAGTATTCGCTTCTACCAGACATCGACTGCACAGCAACAAAAGCGATTCACACATGATGCCTCCTCTGGCCTGCCGATTTTTGAGCCGACCGAACAGCACAGTTTCACCGGGTGGGAAGGGTTCGAGCGGCCCCCACGACCATCCTTGGGGTCTCCACACTTCAAGCGACACACATCAATGCGTACTCGCTACTATTTGTCCTGATATGCACACATGCAATACACGACCAGCTGCGTGTGTCCAACATCTCCGGCGCTGCTGCGAGATTACAGATCTCCCTGCCGCCTCCTGATTTTTCATTCTCAAGCCATCGGGATGCCTCGAAGCTGATGCTGACGGTATAGCGCATGTACAAGAGAAAGAAGGATTCCAGCAGCTCCGACTGCACCGGGTCGCTGGCACCGCAAATGCCCATGAACTACATCTTGTACGAAGTGCCGCAGGAAGTATGAGTGTTTCCACGATTCTCGATTGGAATCTCCAAAACGAGACTCAGGTTGCATCTTGCTGGGAGGCGAAGCCGAGGAAAACTTCGAAGAAGAGGAGCTTGAACCTCCTGTCGGCTACTGTCTTGCCCCAGACTGGCCTGAAGCCTTTGGAGCAGTGCACTGTCCGACACTGTTGAGGATGACGTCTCTGGCTCCACTTCCACCATCTGTCTCAGTGGACTCCGCGATCCGTGCTTCGACGAATCCACCGTGACTGGATTCAGGGCCTCATCCGTCTCGAACCGAAGTGTTCTCTGGCATGCCGCGTCAGAAGCCCCTCTGCCTCTTGGAACCCACCCTCATGTCAGAACCCTCGGTCGTTTAGGAGCTGTGCAAATTCTTAGAACCCTGTGCCACGCAGGACTTGCTGTCATATCGGATCCCTTGGCCAAAACTGCAACCGCAGCTTTGCCACTTTGCTTGCAACTGCTGCCAAGCTGCTGTACATGTAGCCTCAGTCTCGCTATGCAGAGTCGGGCAGTACATCTCGGCTCGGTTCAGAGATCGCCCACTATCGCCAAGAGACCCAGGAGAGCCATGGCGTTGGGATGATGCTTCCTCAAACTTGCAGCATGTGCAGACTTTTCAAGGCATTTCAAGGCAGTTGCCACCAACATCTCGCCTTGCATGCCTTTGATTACCTGCCGTGTTCATGGCTCGTTTTTCTGTCTCGAGGCGTCTGCAGCCGGCTTAGTTCCGCGAAATTTGAATTCTTCTGGTCATGTGGGATGCTCTATCCAGGCGGTCCTTGCGTTGTGCGAGCCTATTGTTAGAGAGCAGGCTCACGTCACGAACAGTGTTGCGGCCTACGTCTTCTACTTGCACGCTCAGGGTGTTGGGACAAGTGACGTTCCTAGAGGATTTCAACGGTTGGTGGTGTCTGCTCAGGTAGCCGAGAGCACAGCGCCATAAAGCTTGAGACAAGCAGCCCCACATGTTCATAGAAAACCAAGCGGCTGTGCAGCGGTGGTCAAGTGACCGGCCGCTCGCGCGTAGTTTTGATGGAACCCCTCCTCTTGTTACGGCAATGTGCGGGCAGCGTGATAGGGTAGCAACGGCATTCTCTTAGCTTAGGCTCTGGCAAGGCCAAGCAAGTATCGCTTGCCCACCTCGCCGCTCGAACAGCTGGATCGACATGGATCATGACAGTCATGCAGAACATTGCATGGCAACACCGTTTTCGTTTCATCTAGTTGGAGCTTTCGGAGCTACCCTGCAGGCCCTGCAGCTGGAGTGCGGCAGCTGCAACGTTGGCATCTCCGCCTCCGAACGAGAAGTGTTGAATGCAAGGAACGAAGTATGGCTCCAGGCTCCAGCAGCTTGCTTTCAAGGTGCTGGCAGCGATCTCCACGAAAACCGCCATCTCCTGTGCAGAGGGTTCGAAGACCCAGGGCGACAAAGGGAAGCTGTGCACCGAGGCTTGAACTGAAAGGCTCATCTGGCGGTCTCGGTTGTCTACTCCAAGCCTGGTCGGGAGTTGTAAGCGGTCTCGGCCTGTAAGCCCTGAATGCTTGCCTTACCAGCTCGACCGCCTTGGGCATTCCGGAAGAATAAACCTCCGACACACTCGTGGAATGCCAGAATTCAAGAGATCAGTTAATTACCCTTTAGGTCCGCGGCCTGCGCCACCCTTCGAGCCACCTGTGCCGATTCGCGTAAGAGGCAAGACGTCAGGTGCGCACGCTCGCCTCGATGTAATTGAGGGCTGCAGTACCGCAGGCCCTTGGCGCGCCAAGACCTTCTGAATGCCTGTCACGTGGAGGCACGACCCCCTGTCTCGGTTCTCTCGAACCGTGGAGGGCCACACGACGTGGGATGAAGGTTTCGCTTCAGCAGGCACAGGGCGCGAAGAGGGTAGACTCCACCACACCGAAATCAGCCCAAAAACTCCCACTGACGGTGCAGCCTGTAGCCCATCGCCTTGGTCAGAGATTCTGAAAGTTACAGTTGCCCAGCTCGTGTCCATGGAACGCAGGAAGACGAGACCAACCTTGCGACCCACCTTACTTAGTTACAATCTCTACATTGCGCCGAAGCACCATCATAGCCCCAAGGTGCCCTGCCAGAGAAGCAGCATAGAGGTAGAGGATGCTCAGACCCTGCAGTGGATGCTGATATACGTGAGCAATCTGGAAACGATCTCTGCACATAGCCTCTCTCCCCCATGTCATTGCCAACACATCACAACACCAACTTCGACAGAATGATGAAGAACGTTGTCGTGCCGTCAGCTAACCTCACAGAACCACCGAGAACACCAAAGCCAGGAGGCACTGGAAAACCTCGCCTAGCATTGCCAACTAACTTCAACAGTTCACGTTGTTTCTAGACGAACAAAACACAAAAAACTTCGAAACAATAAACTTTAGCAACATTAGCATTTTGGTGCTCTGGTGTCGTTGGGCGGTCTCGATCATGATGTGTTGAATTTTGACAAACTCCAATGCTCTCAATGTATCTTGCTTTTCCCGGCGACCCTTCTGAACTGACCCTGCATCCTTAGAGAAGACTATCTTTCTGGTAGCTTCGTTCGAGCACGGAAGAAACTCTCTGGATGGGCACGATTGCGCGCGCCTCGTTCTTCTGCAGTTCGGGCGAGGACTCCTGTCAAGTCCGGTGTCCATCTTGGCGCTCAGAACTGCGGTGCAGAGGCCTCCAAGAGATTGGCATAGAGGACTCCGAGCGCATATTGCGAGTCCGGGTCTCCAAGATCTGCGCCCGCCTGAAAAAAAGCTAAAAAAACAGTGCAGGCCAGCTCAGCGCTTCACCGGTGCCGGTCGGCTCCGCCTGAAACCAATGCATGGCCTGGGCGAGATCCTGGGCAACCTGGCATCGCTGAAACTGAAGTGTCTTGGACTCGTCTTTGGGTCTGCCTCCGTACCCGTGAGGTACAGCTCACCGAGAAGGCCGCGGCAGCCGCCGTGTTCAGCGGCACAGCCTTTTGTCTGAAAGTGCAAGACTCAGAAGCTCTATGGGTCAGGACGACCAACTAGACAACCGCACTGGCCCTTCTTCGCGCGTTCCACAAATCAAAGTGTAGAGCACCGCGGGATTTACAGAAGCGAAAGGAGAGGGGACTTACTGTTCACAACCCTGCAAATTGAAACTGCTTACGGAAAGGTTTGACCATAGTGACGTGAGTGACCTTGCCAGATGTGGGAGCGAGGAGAAGAGCCGGCATGAACGCAAGGAAACGAGGGCCCGCTCCGCAACTTGCGCCCTTGGCCCTTCACTCCACTCGACTCCACTCCCGCCTCTTGCTTTTGCAAGGGCTGCTTTCGCATTGCCACGGCGTAACTCCTGCGGGTCCAGAACTCGGCTGCGCTGCCACTGTTGACCCGTCTCGCACAACAGGATTCGATGAGGCTTCAGCGCAGCTACATCTTGAGTCTTTTGCTACCTTCAGCTGCCTGACTTGAATCTCAAGGCAAAGACGCAAACCACCCGGGCCTGCAATGCTTCGAGGTGTGCAGCACCTGACAGGTATGGACGCCTGGCTCTACATACCTTGGAGATCCTTCGACCTGGAATCTAGCTCTACGTTCCATCTTGCGACACTCACGTCACTAAGCAGTGAATTGAGTTCTCCCAAAGACAGCACTGGCACCGGATCTCTGCCAACGAAGCGTTCAAGCAAGGTGCTCTGCGTCACCGGCTCGTCAGAGCTCGGCGTTGGAACATCCAGGTCTGCAGCGACATGCCATTGAAGCCCATCCCCAGAAGCGCAAGCACTGTAGGCAAAGCGGTTAGCACAGCTTTAAGCGCAGCGACGCGCATTGTCAAGGCCTGAGATGGGCGGCGTGACCCAGTCTTGAAAGCCGAAGAGGTACAGCAGTCCAAGCTGCAAAAGCGATGATTTGAGGGCTCGCGTGTAATAGCGGCTCAGAATCCTCGCTACATCCCTTGTGCCCGGACCTTCGCAGCAAGGAAGACCAGCACCGTCAGAAGAACAGTCAACTGGGCGCGGCTTTGATTATGTGGAGTTTCTGTTGTTAGATGCTGAGCTCCGCACACAGAAGCAGAGCACCCGAACCATGACCGACAAACACGCGGCTTAAAGCGGACCCATGGCGACACGACGACACGGGATCTTTGCTTTCGGCTGGGGCTTGCAGGCTTCAGATAGGCTTCAGCCAGGAGGTGACGCCTTGTGTCGCACTGTTGTGGTTTGGATGGGGCTGGGTTGATAGCCGGATCATGCCTAACTTTCGACGGTTCGTGAGTCACTCGGTGAAGTGTGGTTTGGCTGGCGGGGAGCTTTGTCGGCGTGGGTCTGCTTCAATTGATGTGGGTTTATCTCGCACAGTCTCCCGTGCTTCAAGCAGAAGCTGGCGCATCACACGAACCATCCATGCCTGGAAGACCAGTCTGCAACTGCTGCATCATCTACATGCAGATATTAATTTACAGAAGTATGTATGTATATGTATGTATGTATGTATGTATGCATGCATGCATGTATGTATGTATGTGTAAAAATGTATGTATATGTATGTATGTATATATATATATATGTCCATGGAGGGAGGATTTCTTCACTGCTGCTATTGAACTCCGAATCTGCTTCAGAACTTCTCTCCGCCAGGAGCCACGTGCGACAACCCACCTTCTTCTGCGCTTCCTCGAGGGAGTTGGAGAGAAGGCCGGACCTTTGTGGAATGCCCCTGAGTCACTTCGCGCAACCTGCCATCGCACGTGGGGCCGCACTCCAGCGGGGTGTCTTCCGGCTGGCTGAGGCTCATCGCTTCTGGCACGAAAGCTTCGGCACGGCTCACTGCGCAGGAATAACATGCCTCTCTCTCCTGTCGTTCAAGACTCTTCGCTTGTACCCCCGCAAGGGCTCAACATGCGAATTTGGTCTAGTCTACTCCAGCTCCAGCTCCTGGATCCTATGGAAGACACGTTTCTGTTGACGACTCGTAACCGAGCCCTCCAAGAGCGTGCATTGTAGTACAAGTAGTTCTTCAAGCACAACATCTTGAATCATGCAGGCGGTGTGCACCACTGGGGGTAGCAGCGAGTGTGGCTACATGTGGATGAGTCCTGGACTCGACATCTTCAGTGTTGGACATGGCAGACGCCACAACCAAGCCTCGCTCGAACATCTCTACGGAACAATCGACAGGCCAGCATGGCTCATCATGTTCTTGATGTTGTCGCCTGCACGGCCACCACTGCAGTCAAGTACGGACAATACGAAGCCGCTGTCATTTTACCTTCTGGCGACAGTGCAAACTCGCTGGCCGAGCACGCCGCACGAGACTCTGCCTCCCCTAGCACTCCTCTAGCTGGCAAACTTGCAGGCAGAAGAAGCCTCCGAAGATGCGGAAAATTGTGTCATTCAAACCTCGGCGAATACACACATCTATATATATATATATATATAAGTAGGCACTGAGTGACCGGTTAATGGCAAACTGCGGTGAACACGGCCTGCAGCCGGACCCGGATCTTGGCGCCAGGCTGAGAAAAAATCGTGTGCTTCCGGGGTCTCCTTGTCGGGCCTCGGCATCCAGCGTGTCCACTTGCGATTTTCCCTTCGCTCTGAGAGCATTTTCGGGGTTCGGGCACAGCGGCCACGAAGCTGGTTGTCGATGCGCCGCGACTCGTGTCGCTCGGTGCCCAGCACCTCAGGCAATCACAGAGCCCCGGATGCAGTCGTGCTTACATTGGCTTACAGACAAGCACTTAAAGGGTGCTTGGTTCAAGTAATCGCTTGAGTGGAGGCGTCACAAGGAAGCAGGGCCTGCAACTCGGCCGGCCCTAGTTGTCGGCTTCAATCCGCAGTTAGCACAGGTGCCTAAGGCAGCTGGGGAGAGCACCAATAGTCCTCCCAAGGCCTTGACTTCCTCCTTCTCGAGATCGGTAATCTGCGGCCGAACGGCACAGCTTCAAATTTTGACTTACGGTTCAGGTTTGCGAACAGAGCAGCTTGCGCACTGCCCATGCTGCAGCTTTCCATCCACCGGGCTGCTATGTCCGGCCTGCTTGTAGTGTGCTGTCAAAGCCTTGTAAGCCTCGCGGAGCTGGAGAATCGCCTCGACAAAGGACTTCAGAGCATGAGCAACCCGTCGCCGGCACATCTGCAGATTCCGTGCCAGCGTGTGATGGAAAGCTCGCAAACTTCTGGGGTGCACATGGCAGCTGATCTCCCCCCAAGCGTCTCCTGTAAGTGTCCGATGGAACATCGAGAGCCACCTACTCAGACTCCCGCAGCTGATCTCTTAAATCGCCTCCTGCATGCCCAACCCCAACTGCGCTTCGCCTCATCACTGGTCGGTGCCTTCTCGCATGCCAAAGACAAGCGCTCCTGTCACGTGCGACAGCTCACACAGGCTCGCGAAAGCCCAGCAGCAACCCTTGTAGGCCAACCACATCTTGCTGGAGACTCTGATCGGAACTGACGGAGAATGAAGCGATTTGTGGTCCTCGGCTTCGAGCTCTGTCAGCCGTCCCTGTCAGAATGTTCAAGGGTGGTGGATCCGTGTGGTTTCTCGGTTCGCACATGGAGACTCCCACGACCGACGTATTCTGCAGACGCTTCGCAGCCGCCTGGGCAACGATCTGCTCTGCAGCCTTCCAGGGGCTGTCGTTTGCGGTCTAGTGGGTCACAGAGAATGTCTGTGCCGAACCAACTGCGCAAAACCCCCCTGCATCAACTCTAGATACGAGAACCTGCGACAGCAGACCAGACGCCCGTTCGAGCCTCGAGAGATGTTGGCTTCAGATCGGTCTCTTTCGGAGTCCAGGCCTGGCGAGAGTGTGGCGAGAGCGCGGAGTTCTGATGCCTGTTGTCGCCCTGCAAAACCGGCCGACTCTAGCTCGGAAAAGTTTCGAAGCTCTCCCGCCTCCACCGTTCCGGCCACGGCATCATCTACCTGCCAAGCTCTCCTAGAGTTTTGGGCTTCAGCGGCGCAGACCCGGAAGATTTCCCACAGTAGCCTATCGCCCTTGGACCCCCTGCAAACCTGGACAAAATCTCGTCACGCACAAGCAGCAAGTGCGGAGAGGCACAAGCTTCTGCAGCTCGGATGTAAGATCCACTGGGTAGAACTCCTCGGGCATAGCCTCCAGCTGAGCGACTACGCGGTGTGCCAGCACCGGTCGGCGCTTCTTTCGGATGCGTTTGGGACAGCTTAAAACTTAAAACCAAGCGCAGGCTCTCCCTGGCTGGGGCCCTGGCCCAGGACTTGCGAGGGAAGAGCTTGCCGTAAAGCTCCTCGCGTCAGGCATGGCCAGTAGGCTTGCACTGTAGGACTCCACTCTAAGGGCAACAAGGATTTGACCGAGTATCCAGAAACGCTGCGGCGCTCAAACAACACCAAGGTACTTCTGCAGACCCTAAACCCTAAACTCCAAGACTTGCGGGGTTGATCCTGAAGACCGAAGCCTTCGCTTGGGCTTCGGGTTTAGGACGCTTTGATTTCGAGCGCCAGGCTTCGGGACCTGTAGGCAACACTATACCCAGCTGCCGAAAAGAGGTGCTGGTGCTGGTGCTGGTGGCAACGACAACTACGGCACGCTGTTGTGACGATAAGCATGGTTGGGATGATACTCCGACAGCAAAAGACGCGTGCCGTGCGATCTGGCAGTCGTTCAGACTGGCGCTAGCAAGGAAGAACGCTGCCTCACGCAATCGAAGCCGAGCCATCATAGTGGGGTTGCCACCGAGCAGAATGTCGGTCCCTGGCAGCTCTCGGATCCCACAGGCGCCCCCGACTGAACACCTTTGCCGTAGCCTCGCCCTGCCATGTTGGTCGCGATCGTGACAGCCTGGGTTCGCGACACACATCGACGAAACCAACCTTACATTCAACCAGAGATGCAAGAAAGACTTCTGCATCGTAGGCATCAAGCATACTTGCGGCCGCTGGAAGCCACGATCTCTGTCTCCCGGGCTACGTTCTCAGGCTTGGCATTGAGGAGCTGGTATGCCCTGCAGTGGTTTGGATCCACTGCTACTACGACGTGTGCCAAGCTGCAAGCCGATTATGACCGATTTACTTGTGCAAACCATCAGCTGAAATACGTTTGTTCACAAAGACTGAAGACCTAGCCACTCCTGTGGATTCGTGCACATCGATGCAATCCTCACTTTTCAAGATCATGTCTTCAGTGTCTACACCTTTAGTTGACTTGGCTATCTTCCCTGGTTAGCTACGGCTGCATGATCTGCAAGACCAGCAACACGTATGGATACGTGTGTCTGCTTCATCAGAACCCTACGGCTGTTTGTAAGCACTAGCAAGGGCTATCTGTAGGTTACCATATTTCTGTCGAAGCACTGCTCGTCCTTAGTCTTTAAAATTTTTAAAAGGATACAGTGCACTAGGGTGGCGGGTTACAGATGTGAGGAAGACGGAGACGCCTTGAGTGCATGCCTTCATCGCACAGGCTAATAGGCAACCGAACGAGCAGTACGACGGAAATAAAGGCGAATGTCTAGCGAATAAACCCCAGGAATGTGACCGCATCTCAACGCCATGGTCGCCGCTCTCACTGGGGACCCGTGCACTCCCAGTGCATCGAGGAGTTCCGCAATGATCTCGGAGTTTTCCACCTCGAGATCTGCGACTCTACGAATCTGATCTCGTCTGCCCCGACCCGACATCTCAAGGTACATCTACGTATCTTCAGTGCAGGTTACCCCAGATGCATTCACGTCCCCCGAAGTCACTGCTCAGCCAGGGGGCGTTGGTTGTCCCGATGAGGACCGGCCGACCAATTCGGTGCGCATTTGAGATCTCGCGGGCGCAAGCCTCACCCGACTAGATAAAGGAACGTATAAACACTTCCTGCCTGTCTTGCCATAAGGTGTTTTGTGGAGACATGCTGCCCACACCAAGCTTCAAAGCTGCAAGGAATAGGATGTGCCCTCTCCCTTCCGCCACGACTTAAGAACATCCCTCCTTTGCGGCCAGGTCCTTTCTTCTCTGCTCTCGAAATCACCAGGCTCTTCAAGCACGAAGCCTTCCACTTGCCGATGTCGTCCACAAAGACCTGGACTGTGGTCTTAGGATCAGGTGATCGCCGACAAAGCTTGGCCACTGACTTGATCATCCTTGTCCTCGCGCTTCCTGCAGCCAAGTGTTGGCGCGAGGCTTCGGTGAGACCGTGAGACCCTCTCCTGGACAGGTTCGGTGGGACGACGACCTGAGGCATCTCGTTGCGAGACTGATGGCTTGCGGCCGATTTCGTGGCGAGGCACCGTCTTCAGCTTGTAAACCTCCTCGAACTCTTTGGCTTCGGTGAAAGCGGTGCCGGTCATTCCGCCGAGCCTCGGGAGCGTGACCGCGTGGCCCAGGTTCCAGGAAGCACAGGGCATGGGCGCGCTCTGATTCTGATTCTGTAGCATCGACTCTACTCGCAGACGCCTGTGTCGACTGATCTGTCTGTTGCAGACAAGGGTCTTGTCGAAGAGTCTGAACAGAGACTGGTACGAAATGCCTGGCCAGTTCAGGGACAACAAGCTTTCTTCGACCGATTGCGGCGTTTGACATGCTCGGCCGCTACAATCTTAGGGTAGCGGCTCGTGACTTGATGCGAGATGGAAATACACAAGCGTGCAAGCAGTAGAAGAAGCCAAGCACCGCATATAAGAGCGGACAAGCGGCTGGCCAGAGTGACGGACTCCGCCTGAATCTGCACGTTCTCCTTAGCCTCAATGGCCTGAAGAAGTGCAAGCATGCCAAAACAACTTGGAGCTGTGCACCACGAAGAATCAACAAAACGCAAGCACGAGCCTGATGAAGTCCATTGCTCCATCGTCGACCCTCCATGACGCGTCCCGTGAATTCGTCCACGATCCTTAGAGCTGGCTTCGGATCCGCAAGCCGTCTTAACCCTGCACAAGACGAGTCGCATCACCTCGCCGCGCTTAACGATGTAGGCCTGCCGCTTCGGCGTAGCCAGGTTGTTGTCTCTTTTGCTGTACATGGCCTTCTTAGCGAGGTTTCTGCACTTGGGTTCAGGTTTCAGTTGCTTCGGTACTGCAATCGCCGACGAATTAAAGCGAAAGGTGCACGGCAGTGTTGTCCTCTTCAGAACCTACACAATCGTCACGGCCTTGTCTTTGATGTATAGCTCCTTTGCATTCAATGCGTTCGTGATGAAGGGGAACCACGGATCCTGGACTCGACACAGTCATCTCTAACTACCACAACGATTCCGAGAAAGAGACCATCCCGCATCATGCTTTGAGCAGGCACGTCCTCTGGATCGAAAAGGTCGTTCTTGCCTAGAAGCTTCTCTGCCGCGTCGACACCTCCCTGGCGCCCAAAAATGCAGGTGTGGGTGCAACACGAAACGCTGAAGGGACGGGAGGGAGGGGGCGGAGGGATGGGGCGGAGAGTCTCCAGGCCCAGGCCTCGGTGTCTCCCTTCCAGTTCCTGAAAAAATTACGCGGAAGGGAGAAATGCGCAGCCTCGATCAGGACACACTGTCGCTGCTTCTCGTCCACCGTGTAATGCACCTGAGAAGAGTCCAGCTCATTTCCGCACTGCCGTGCTGGTGCAAACTTTGCCCGCCTCTTTCCGAAGTGCTTTGGAGACCTCGCTGGCCACCTGACGGGGGAAAACAAGTGCAAAGCAGAGTCGCAGGCGGAGCCACGTTGAGTCTCTGAACACGGAGGAGAACGGACCCCGAACGTGCTCAACAGCTTGATCGGAAATCGGATCGAGGCCTGGTACTTCGTCGGCGAGTTCTCAGCAACGCCCGAGATGATGAGGGGTGTCCGCGCCTCACCACGGCACGCTCTGATGCTTCGAGCTTATGCAGGCGCTGGAAAGCAAGCTGTGTCACACCTCATCGACGAGGATCGAGTCCACCTCATCCACCACCGCAAAATTGAACCTGAGGACTGTGAGGGTCTGCGGGCGCCCAAGGTCAGATTCCTTCGGCTGCCCGAACATGTAATCTGCTCCAACACCGACTAAATTTGGCACCTGCAACCCGCACACTCTCCTTCACACCAGGCCGCGGGGAACCCTCTCGGAGAGAGAGATCCGAAGGTGACGGGGCCATCTGGTCCCTGAGGTAATCGAAACCCAACTCGCCTCAGCCAACACCGTGCCGAAAATTGTGTAAAAGCTGCTTGCCGTGATGAGTCCAGCGGTGCGAAACCATGCCGACGTAAATGTGGCACAACCGTCGGCAAAGCCGAAACCAGCCCATGTTAAAGGCGGTTCCTCCTTCACGCATTTGTTTTGCCGCCAAGATGCTGTTGGTGACATAGGTGACATCACACCTGTAAGCCTTCTTCTTCTGGTCAGCAGGCATCCCATTCCTCGTGTAGTCTAGGTGTTTACTTTGAAGGACAAAAAATCCTGGCGATTATACACGGCACGACAGACACGCCAGTAGCTTGTTAATTAGGGCCCTCCGCACAAATCTGAAGACTGAGCCGCCTCGTGTCGGCCTGAACTCGAAACCTAAATCCCGCTTTAGATGATGGCGGTCCTGTCCGAATGGGTGTGCAAATCTATGCAATGTTGTGCAAGCGCTGCGGGAGTAGGTTGCTGTTAGTTCAATCTGGCAGAGGCTCTGTACCACGCCCACCGACATGCCCAAGAAGCGAAGCGGCTGGCCAACCTCCCACATGCAGGGGAGATAACATCCCAATCTGGCCACACATCCCCATGCCCTGTTGATGTCTCGAATGGCACTCGAATCGTTAGCTGCCGAACAGTGACTTCGGCGGTTCCCGCGCGGGGTACGGGAAGCATGTTGACTAGTCACAAAATGTCGCAACCATCGGCATACGCGGGGTTGTGGGACTTCACTGCCATTGTTTGCGTTTTGTCTGAATGTTCACAGTCTACTCAGCAGTTGTACTGCTGCTGCAGCCCCGGCATGCCCGGTTTGAGTCTGAATCATAATCATCATCACCGCCACCACCACCACCACTATCATCACTTTGTGTCATCATCATCAGCAGCATCGTTCACCAACATTGCTGGCAGTGGTGGCGGTGGTTTCGAGAACACATAGTTGAAACGATAAGCATTCAACAACCCCAAACTCATGGTATCTCATGGTGGTGGGAGGTGCGGCTCAACATGACATCACATCACCGTGTGATCCAAAAAAACTGAAAGAGCAACGTACAAATGGGCCGACTTGGGCGAAGCAGTTCGACGACAAGCCATAACAAAGCCACTGGCGATGACGCCCCGAGTTCATTAAGAACTGCCGTGACGTTACAAGGGCAGTTTCAACCGAGGCGGAGTTAGCCCCACACACACACACACACGACAAAGACGGACTACAGCAAC